CTCTCTCCCTTCCCCTCCCCCTCCTCCTCCCTTTCTCCTCCCCCTCCTCCTGTCTTCTTTCTCCTTCTCCCTTTCGTCTCCCCCTCCTCCTCCTTTTCCTCCTCTTCCTCCTTCCTAGTTTCCTTCTGCAGTAATCCCCAGAGGTTCCCTGAGAAAATTGGCTGCATTCTTGAGGAAACACAGGTTTCCAGTCTAATCCAAGTTCCAGTGATACCCACCCCACATCTCAGGACGGCGGATAGCTGCATCTCCCAGTCTGCAGGAATCCAGCCTCCTCCTCGTACCCACCTGCTGCTCATCTGCACGAAGTCCGGGAGGTAGCGGAATGTCCCGACTGCTGCCCAGAACTCCGGGAGCTCCTCTCTGCTTACTGCAGCATGGATGGCATGCTCAGAGACCCCGCGCGCTCCCTGGGTGCAGGCGGGTGGTGGTGTCTGCACATCGAGACTTCCAACGGTGTCTGTTCCTACACTGTCTCCCAGGATTGCTCCCTGGATGCGTTTCCTAGGGCTGCTGTAACAAAGCACACAAATGAGGAGGGGAAGCGTAAAACAAAACACATTCACTGTCCACAGTTTGGGAGGCTGGAGGGCCGAAGTCAAGGTGTGGGCTGGGCCCCGCTTGCCCTCCCCGCTCCGGAGAAGAATGATTTCCTGCCTCTTATATTCTGGCAGTTCTCGGCAATCACTTCGATCTCTGCCTCCATGGACACGTGACCCTCTTCACCCTGTTTATCTTTGTGGGTCTTCGAGGCAGCGTCCTCTCTTACAAGGACATCAGTCAGATTAAACCAAGGGCCAGCCTTCCTCCAATATGGCTGCATCTTAACTACTGTTTAGTCCAGCCTGAAGGTTTCTCCGCACACAGTCAACTGTAACCTAGTCGGTGTATAAACAGACTTACCCTCGTACTCCTGTCACCACTAGCAAGTCCCAGACACCTTCAGCCACTCACAGGCAGCCAGCTGTTCACATCACGTTCAGATGAGGCAAACGCTGAGCTATGACTGTCCGTCTCCTGGTGTCTGCGGGCACTTTAACTTGGTCTGTCCATAGGTCCTCTCTGACCATGCAGCAGTCCTCTGAACTTATTCTGGTTTGGGGGTGCTGCCCAATTCCAGCATCACTCTCTATTTAGTTAAACTTTGCTAAATTTAATTTTAACAGACAGCATCAGATGGGGGATCCAAGGTAGAGCTCCCAGTGACCCCAGGAACATCTAGTGGGCAGGTAAGTTACCCACTGGACCCTTTGTGCTCAGCACTCTCTGGTGGAAACTGGAGATACAGAATAAATTCAGCTTTGGATTTGTGTGAAGGGGCTGTGGACTCTGGCTTTGGGGAATTTGCAGAGATTTTTGCATACTAGCCCTTTTGTTTCTTTGTGTTGTGTGCTTGGGTAAGGAAAAATCATTGGCCATGTTGATGAAAGGTCTCTGAGAGTCAAAGCCAGGATCCTGTGTGAAGACTGGTCCTCAATTCCTGATGAGCTGAGGACCATGCCCCTGGTTATACCTGCTGATGTGGGTATGAGGACCATACCTCCAGTTATACCTGCTGATGTGGGTATGAGGACCATACCTCCAGTTATACCTGCTGATGTGGGTATGAGGACCATACCTCTGGTTATACCTGCTGATGTGAGTATGAGGACCATACCTCCGGTTATACCTGCTGATGTGTGTATAAGGACCATACCTCTGGTTATACCTGCCAATGTGGGTATGAGGACCATGCTCCAGGTTATACCTGCTGATGTGGGTATGAGGACCAGACCCCTGGTTATACCTGCCAATGTGGGTATGAGGACCATACCTCTGGTTATACCTGCTGAATTGGGTATGAGGACCCTATCTCCAGTTATACTTGCTAATGTGGGTATGAGGACAATACCTCTCATTATACCTGCTGATGAGGGTATGACGACCGTACCCCTGGTTATACCTGCTGATAAGGGTATGAGGACTATACCCCTGGGTGTTCCTGCTGATGTAGGTATGAGTACTAGGCCCTGGAAACAACAGAAATGGTGACATCTTACTGAAGATAATTTAAAATTATAGTGCAACATTCCAAATGAGAAATATTCTGAAGTGCGTTTAAAAATGAGCGTTCCCAAATTAGTTTCATCCAAGGAAGCCTATTGACGTGTAGAAGCTTTAAAAAAAGACGTGAATATTTATATTGCCTTTTAAAAATACTTTGTAAAAAACTAATAAAATCTTAAGCAGTTAATTGGTAAAGAATAATGAAATGTACTAATCTTTTGGCTTAGTTACTATTCTACCTTAAGGGCTAAAAGAGTGCCACCTTGGATGAAGTGTTTATGAAAGGTAGACCCTTGGGTAAAGCAGGCTTCTTCCTCAGAACTGTTCTTCTATAAAGGAAAGTTCCATCTGTAAGGGTGCCTGCCTCTGCCCACCCAAAAGACAAGGGAAAACTGTGTCACTAGAAACTCTTGCCATTGGTTTGAATTGACAGAACTTAACCTTTGTTTAAGGTGTTTTTCTTGCCACGTTGCCTTACTTGGACCTTTATACCTTTCTCCCTTGGTTTAGGCAAATGGTAGTACAATATTTAGACCTAAAGTCTCCTCCGTCTGCTTTTGGGGTATAAATTTTCTACCTTGTTTCCCCTAGGAGTCATCCGTTCAGAAATTTAGGGTTGCCTAGTTCACAACGGTCTAGGGTAATGGAGTGGGCAGTGGGAAGGTAGTGGAATAGGTCGTGAATAGGTAGTGGGAAGACTGATGATCATCTGAATGGGGAAAAGAAAACTTTTGAAAGCTGTCAAAGGAGAATTCTTTCTGAAAGCTCTAGATCTTCTGTGTGTGTCTGTATATTATGTGTGTTATGTGTATGTTAGAACATTTAGAAAATAGAACTACTTTTAAATTATTGATAGAATAAAATAAGAATGGCTTTGGAATTGCCAGTTAAATAGAATTCAGACATTTTTGCCTGGGTCTACTGGTCAGACAGGATCATGCTGTCTCTGTCCCATGTTTGAGGTCATAAAACTGTTGCTTCTGTGATATTCCATACTTGCTTGATTAATCTGGGAGCTCATGGTTTTGGTTTTAAGCTTCTAGGTTCTAAGTAGCTGGCCACTGGGAGCCCTGGGGGCATGTTCTCAGTTTTTGTACTACCAACTGCAAGGCAGAGCCAAGTCAAACAAGGCCCATACTCCCTACCCTAGCTTTTCCCTTTGGCCATGCTGGGAAGGATTGAATCTTCCAGGCATCATCCTCAGAACTGTCTCCTATCCTGAGTTCTGTACCTGGTATATAAATTCAGGAGCCAGACCAGCTCTGCTCTTTATGGCAGTGCTGGTTGCCAGGTGGCTACTTGAGACCCAGGAATACTGGGGAAATTATTAGTGAGGGTACCTGTGTCATAGTTTCAAAATTCTTTTCAATAATTTAAAATCTTAAAGTTATATTGTATTAAATTAAATAATCATAAAATATCTGAGTTATTTCCCAATTGTATATAAAACCAGCACATTGTACCCCATGACTGCATTAATGTACACAGCTATGATTTAATAAAAAGAAATAAAGAAAATTCTGAAACAGTAATTATTAAATATAAGTTTATATACTTTGACATGTTATTTTTGTATGGTATAGAAAAGCCAAATATATTTAAATCTATTAGTAAAACTTTGAAAAAAGTTTTCTAAAAAATATGAAATTTTTTTTTTGTAGGTACTGATATAAAACAGTTCAAAATCACTTACTTTCTAGGTAATCATAGAAATTGGGATTACTAAGAGTTAAAATTATAGTTAATGTATATAATTAAAATGACTAGATACAAGATAACTAATCTTCTTTATAGAGTATAAAAAGAAAAGCAAGATATACTTTTGGCAAGGAAAGTTGTAAAGGCATGAAAACGTGTTAAAAAAGAGTAATCTTGTCTAGTTTAAAAGTTTCTTAAACATTATTTCAAATTGAAGAAATGAAATAGATACAGATAAAACTAAATGAATATAGAAACTTGGACAAAGAAAGAGAATAGAACAAAGTTTTAAGTGATTATAAAAGGTTTATGAAAATATTGTGTGGTCAAAAGGTAACTGTGATTAGATAAATTTGTTTATAAAATTTCATTTAAATTTGCTTTAGTATTGATAATACAATATACAAAATTGGGTTTTCTGTTTTGAATAAGAATTTCATGTTAACAAGACAGTAAAATACTGTTATTTACTTTTTGAGTAAAATACAAAATAATTAAAAGAGGGAAGAGGAGAGAGAGGCTCTGTCTCATGCCGTCTTTATCAAGGTTTTTTATCAAGTTTGAGAAACTGAGTCTCTATCAGAAATAAAGGTTTTTGCTTTTTAAACCTTTTGATTATCACTTTGGCTAACTGAATGACTATTGTTTTACAATGACCTGTAATCAAATTTTGATCATTTTAAACCTTTGATATATTTGACAAACTTCCAAAAGCAAATTTTAACATGAGTTAACCAGAGTAGATCAACCCCTCCCCAAGGAAGGGTACAGCAGACACAACTAAAGATCCCATTCATAAAAAGATGGCTAAGATGTCAGAAATTGAATTTAGAATTTGGATTGCAAATAAGAGTAATAAAATAGAGACAAAGTTGGAATTAGAAATTCAAGGAGTATTTCAAAAGTTGTCTCAAGAATTCAACGAATTCAAAGACAAAATCACCAAAGATTTTGACATGTTGAGACAAGAATTTGCAGCCCTCAAAGATCTGAGAAATACAGTAGAATCCCTCAGTAACAGAATGGAGCAAGCAGAAGAAAGGATTTCTGACATTGAAGACAAAGCTTTGGAACACTCCCAAACTCTCAAAGAGGAAGAGAAATGGAGAACAAAAATGGATCATTCTCTCCAAGAGCTCTGGGATAATTCAAAGAAAACTAATATTCACCTTATAGGAATCCCTGAAAGTGACAAAGTTGCTTTGCAAATCACAGAGGCTCTTCTTCATAAGATTATGAAATAGAACTTTCAAGACATGCCAAGAGATTCTGAAATTCAGATAGCAGGCAATTTCAGAACCCCAACATGACCCAACCAGAGTAAGATATCCCCCAGGCACATCATAATTAACTTCACTAAAGTTAATATGAAGGAGAAAATTCTGAAAGCAACCAGATGTAAGAAAACCATAACCTACAAGGGGGAAGAATATTAGAATGACTGCAGATCTCTCCGCTGAATCCTTTCAAGCTAGAAGAGGGTAGTCATCGACTTTTAATCTCCTAAAACAAAACAACTTTCTTTTTTTTTACAAAACAACTTTCAACCCAGGATCCTGTATCCAGCTAAACTGAGCTTCATTTATGATGGAGAAATTAAATACTTTAATGACATTCACACATTAAAGAAATTTGCCATAAATAAACCAGGTCTCCAGGATATTCTCAGACCAATCCTTCATAACGACCAGCCCAATCCTCCACCACAAAATAAACTCACCCAGAAATTTTGATTTAATTCCAACTTCCACAGTGGCAAAAGGATTAAAAATTTCCACTGGACTTTTAAAAAACTCAATACTCAAAGTTTTACCAGGCATATCAATATCTCAATTAATGTGAATGGCTTAAATTGTCCTCTAAAGAGGCAGGGGCTGGCTGACTGGATACAAAAACTCAGGTCAGATATCTGATGCATACAAGAATCTCATCTTTAACAAGCATGAACAACTTTATTTCCTCCAGCTCCATAGCAGTCAGAGATTTTAACACTCCTTTGGCAGTGGTGGATAGAGTCTCCAATAAGAAGCTAAGCAAAGAAATTTTAGATTTAAACTTAATCATTCAACATTTGGATTTGACAGACATCTACAGAACATTTCATCCTAACAAAACTGAATACACATTCTTTTCATCATCCCATGGAACATACTCCAACATGAACCACATCTTAGGTCACAAGTCTAACCTCTGCAATTTTGAAGGAATGGAAATTATTCCTTGCATCTTCTCAGACTATCATGGAATGAAAGTTTAACTCAGTAACAGCAGGAATCTGCATACTCATACAAAAACATGAAAGCTAAATAACATTGTGCTGAATGATAGCTGGGTCATAGATGACATTAAGAAGGAAATTACCAAATTTTTGAAACAAAATGATAATGAAGACATGAATTATCAGAACCTCTGGGATACTGCAAAGGCAGTCCTAAGAGGGAAATTTATAGCATTGCAAGTCTTCCTCAAGAGAACGGAAAGAGAGGAAGTTAACAACTTAGTGGGACATCTCAAGCAGCTGGAAAAGGAAGAACATTCCAACCTCAAACTTGGCAGAAGAAAAGAAGTAACCAAAATTAGAGCAGAATTAAATGAAATTGAAAACAAAAGGATTATGCAACAGATCAATAAATCAAAAAGTTGGTTTTCTGAAAAGGTCAATAAAATAGATAAACCTTTGGCTAACCTAACCAGGAAAAAAAGAGTAAAGTCTCCAATGTCATCAATCAGAAATAGTAAAGACAAAATAACAGCAGACCCCTTAGAAATTCAAAAAATCCTTAATGAGTATTATGAGAAACTTTATTCTCAGAAATATGAAAATATGGAGGAAATTGACCAATACTTGGAAGCACACCATCCTCCAAGACTTAGCCAGAATGAAGTGGAAATGTTGGACAAGCCTATATCAAGTTCTGAAATAGCATGAATTATACAAAATCTCCCTAAAAAAAAAAAGCCCTGGACCAGAAGGCTTCACGTCAGAATTCTACCAAATCTTTAAAGAGGAACTAGTACCTATATTACTCAACCTTTTCCAAA